TCACATCCTGCGTTTTATATATGCATTTATTGCTATTCAGCACGGCGTTGTTTTTACTAAGTACCTGTAGAACTTTCTTTAGTCATGCATCATGTTCTTCTTCACTGTTCCCGAATACCAGGATATCATCGATAAAATTGACGAATTCTTCACAGTTTATCAGCATCCTCTCAATGATCTTCTGAAAAATCTCGGAAGCGCAGGTAATTCCAAGCATTATTCTTTTATATCTATATAATCTTTTGGGGGTTATAAAAGTCGTTATGTGTCTGGATTCAGAGTGAATTTCCACTTGATGGAAGGCATTTTTTTATGTCTTAATTTGTTAAAATATTTAGCTTTCTTCATTTTAGGCAAAAATGGTCCATAGTAGGCAGGGGGTGGTTTTCTTGCAATATAACTGCGTTCGTACATCTCATATCTACGCACAAACGTAATTCACCATTTTCTTTCATGATTGGAACATTGGTGAAACCCATTTAGACGGGCCTTGCACTTCTTCAATTATATCACTGTTTAGTGATTCCTTAATTTTGATTGCAACCTTCTCTTTAAAGGGGATCGGCTTGCTTTTACTCTCCACTTGATTTATCCCGATACCAAGTTTTAAGACACCCAGTCGGACTGCTGTGTTCTTACCAAACAGGTTTCTAGTACCCCCCGAAATCACGTAAATGGTTGTATGTTCCTTTCGTCCATCGACTTCGAGTATAGTTTCAAATGAACCCTCTATTGCCAAAGGAGAGTTACTACCCTATGCTAATAATGTCTTGTTTGGTCTTTACATTTGATTAAAAGCATATACTTTTTTGCTTTTTAACTCTTCCCACGTTTTGTAAGATATAAGGTTCTTGCGCAATTTCGAATTACACTTTTCCACAATTTGATCTATGAAATGATCATCTTGCTTTTCGAATGCACACTTTTCGGCTTGTTGACGCAATCTTATCAAAAACTTCTCAAATGTCTCCTTTTTTCTGTTTTAGCAATCGAAAAACATGCCGCTCATAAACTTTGCTCCGTTTAGGTTGAAAATACTCGTAGAGTTTTTTTTATTTTGCTACTTAAAATACATCAACGGTTTCTTTTATCCCAGAGCCACCAAAATGCAATAGCGTAGCTCGTTTCTCGAGTGCTGATATAACTTCAGCTACGTCCAGATAGATTAGTAGAGACCTTTCCCATTTTCCACACCTTATAGCCATAGATGTGCTATCACATTAAAGCTGATAACGGTATCATTATTATTATTATTTTAGTGGCAAACTGAAACAGTTTCTTATATTTTTCTTTTCCAATTTAATGCTGGTATTTTAATACCCAAAGTCCAATTTAATGGTAGTAACTTAGTACACAAAGTCCAATTTAATGGTAGTAACTTAGAACCCAAAGTCCAATTTAATGGTGGTACATAACTTAGTACCCAAGCTCCAATTTAATGGTGGTACCTACCTTAGTACCCAAGTTCCAATTTAATGGTGGTATCTTAGTACCCAACTCAATTTAATGATGGTATCTTAGTACCCAACTCAATTTAATGATGGTATCTTAGTACCCAACTCAATTTAATGATGGTATCTTAGTACCCAACTCAATTTAATGATGGTATCTTAGTACCCAACTCAATTTAATGATGGTATCTTAGTACCCAACTCAATTTAATGATGGTATCTTAGTACCCAACTCAATTTAATGATGATAATATGTTCCATAACACTCGCCCTTCTCTTTCGGTTTATTTGTTATACCCACTACTTCCATCGCTGTGCCATTTAGGCTTTGGGTGAATTCAATACCTATATTGCGCATTTACCATTATTGATAACTTAGACAGCAATACCCTCGAGAAACGCCGTGATATAAGAGATCAAATGTTGTTGTACAAATTGCTTCATAATATCATCGACTCTCCCCTACTTTTAGGCAGGGTGAATCTTGCGTGTCACAAATAAACCACTTTTTGCATTACCTAAAGTTAAAACAAAAAAATGCCTCAAATAATTTTGTATCTCGTACATGCAAAAGTTTAACTTAAAATATTGTAAATATTAGATATTTTTCACCTTGAATATGATAGTTACAAAGAAAATATTGTAAAACTTAATATATAATTGGTAGTATCACTTTGAGTTGTATATATAATGTTACTTTTAACTACTTACTACTTAATGTTTTAATTTATGAATACCATTTAGCTCGTTTTATTCTTTTATATTTTTAATTTTATACAACATAATATTGTGGTTTGCTTTTATTATGTATTAGATATCTGTGGAAACTTCATTGGTTTTTTAGGATTACTTTTATATGTTTTATTATGTAATTTATTATTGCACTGTATGTTTCCCTTAAAAAGCAAATAAATAAATAAATAAATAAATAAACAGTATTACTAGTTACCTACTTTGCAATGTACAGAAGTCGTGAAGTGTCCACGATTTTTTGTAAGACTTATATATGCCATGAAAGCGGTAAAATAGTATTTTCATTAAAGGCGATAAATATCACATTAAATGCCACTAAAATTTAGCTAACGACATTGTATTTCGGTTCGAATCGAGACGAGTTTTTAGTAACATCTACTATTTTTCCATCAAAAATCTTTTTATATAAAAGTTGTGCTAATAGACATATGTTAAAATAAATCATTATTTTATCATTGCTACATAAAGAAAATAAATTTTAGCACACCATAAGCGTGGTCAAATGCGAACATATATTTTATATAAATTATTAAAATGATCAGAACAGGGTTAAAAACAATAAATCATAATTCATAATCCACAGTATTTTTTTTCCGCGGGTACTCTAGGAATTAATTTACAATTGCAATGCTAATAGTTGCACATTGCTAACCTATTTTTGATTATATCTTTATACTAAATAGGTACATATCTTTTTCCATTTTTATTAGCATATTCACCAATTTTATATTATATGATCTTTATTAATAATTATTAATTAATAACTTAATAAATAATTATTAACGTATATTATTAATAAAGTCTTTATTGCACAAAAAGATGTCTCATGCCGACCACTATTTAAGACACTGGGGATCTTACTCGTGCCTTGTTTGTATATATTAGAAGTTGCCAAGTTTGTAAAACAAACACGGGAAGAGTTTCTATAAACTTAATAAAGAAGTGGTATCCATGAACACGAGATACCCAAATCAGATAGTAATTAGCGAGATACCAAAAGTAAACGCTTTAGAAAAAGTTGTTACTGAATGGGTAAAACAATATAATATAATAAAATATCAAACATAATTAAAGATCTTCCTATTCAAACATTTAAAAAAAATTTATACCAGTGGCTCCTTCAAATACATTTTACTCGGTAAATGAGTTTTTTAAATTACTGATGACAAATTTTTATAGGTCTATAGCTCATAATTGACTTTTGTTATTAACTGACATGGTATATAATATTGTGTAATCGATTTTTCTTCATTTGTTAATTTTTTTTTTATATTTTTACTTTTGATATATTTAGGTTAATTGGATGGATTGTTTGTTGTTGCTATTTTAACGATTTAATAATGATTAATTTTGATATATCTTTTGTAACATACATACAAAAAGCAAATAAATAAATGTTATATCTATATTTAATTTTTCCTACCTTTACCTCGTCGCCACTTGTAATAGTCGATACTTCACAGCAATTCACTGGTTCACACACGCACACGTAAACTCAATAGTTTCACTACGCGTCCACTCTCGCCCGCGGCTCTCGTGATACTGACACGGTGCGCTCGAAACAGTGGGCATTTATATTCGTGTATTAACAGGCAATATAAATGATAATACCTTCATTTCGATCTATGAACTGTATTTTATTACATACTTGCTAACATTTTAAAATCACATACACTACAAAGTTAATTAAATAATATGCTCTTGATGTTGACTTGTCGATTTGATTTATTGATTATTTACATAAAAATTTAATGTTACACGTTATGTAATAATTAAAGGAAACAAATACTATATTAGTAATTGTTCACCTATTTTTTCTTTCGTAAACAACTAAAACATGGTTAGCTTATCTGGTGGTTTTAGAAGTTGAAACTAGTGGAGAGCTAGTTTAGTTGTTGGCAACACTGTGCAGTAGATGTTGACATTTGACAACTTGACATGTTGTTGGCCGTAGATAATATACTATGGTGAGGGCATAGAGATATTATACTTCTAAGCAGTGTTGCCAACCGTACGATTTAAATCGTATTCATACGATCTTTTTGGCCCTAGTACGATCTACGATCATGTATTCGAAATCGTACGCAAAATATACGATCTTTTCAAATCTTACAATCTTCATAACAAAATAAAAATGACAATTGATTAAGTTCATTTTACCGATATAAAAATCAATAATTACAAAATTAAACGAGCTCTAAACTTCTTCTTTGTATTTTTTTATGAACGCATCCAATTCAATAATTTTTTAAACTCTATTTCTCGCGCAGTTTAACCGTTTTTCTTCAAGTTTGTTTTACGTCATTCTATTTGTTCTAATCCAAATAATATTACACCACGCAGATAATCATATATTACATATTTTGTAATATACGGTAGGGTGAACTCAGTCCGAGCCCATTTTTTTTTAATAAAAAAGTCGTAGTAACGTTTATTGTCAGATTCTTAAATGTTATATGGTTATACCCTAAATGTAAAATTTTGCTTTGACGTTATAATAATATTATTTTTGTATTTTTTTACCATTGTTTTATTGAAATATTGATGCGTACTATCTTTTTTTTTGAGTTCTTAGCAAAATACGATCTTTTCCAGTTTATGGTACGATCTCCTAAAAAATAAAGTTGGCAACCCTGCTTCTAAGTCAGTGAGTTAGGGCAGTGTTGATGTTGACACTTGACAATTCGAATTTGTTGTAGTAGTACCTACGTAATATCTAGATTCATTTTATGAGTATTTTAAGAAGATATTCAATAGAAATCTGTTTTTTAAAAAAGCTAATGTTGAGTTGAAGTAATGGAAATAACAAGAAAAAACTTTGCTGAAGAATTTGAAAATATAACTAACAATTTGAAACGTTCTTGTTTTGTCGGTTTCGATGCTGAATTTACTGCTTTATTGTCGGGGGAAAATTTTAAATACAGGTAAATAAAAAATACTACGACGAAGAACTGAATAAACATCTTACTTTATGTCAGCGTATTTGTATTTTAAATAATGGGTTATCTTTGGTTTTTACGTGATACGAACCATGCTACAAATATATTGAGGTTGAAGCACGAATTTGTCGGCTTGACCATCGAAGTTCCACGCTCTCACAGACTACCAGCGTAAAATAGCTGCTTAATGCTGCTATTTTTCGTATAGTGAGTGTAGAGGATCAGAGAACCTTTTTACTGGAAATGAAACATTCCATCTTAGACATCAGGGGTGACATCACATCTGCATTTTGATTCTTAACTGAGGGTAGATGTCTAGGGCAACAGTATCAACTTACCATCAGGTGGACCGTGTGTTCATTGGTCACCCTTATACTATAAAACTAATATTGGGTTCATATTCTTATGGTATAAAGGGTTAGGTAAGGTGTATCAAATATCAAAATAGCCATCCATGGTAGATTATTGTACCAAAAAAATGTCAAATGACAAATTTATTTCATTTTATGAATTTAAATAAGTCAAATATGAGCATCAATGCTGTAAAAAGTATATTTTTTCACAAATAAAGAATATATTTACAAAATAGCGGAATAAAATGCTTTTGTCATGTATGACCCCCACATTCACTGCAAGTACTTGTGTCAAAAATACGTGATATCAAAAACAATAATTCAAATGCATTTTAAAAGTTGCTAAAGCAGGTTGCAAATTAAATATGTGTATGAAATCTATTTGATTTTATTTTATTAATTCCCTATCATATTTGTAGGTTCAAAAACTCACAAAATCAAACTCTTGTTGCTACTATCCCTAGAGTGTTTTGTAAAGCTAGAGGTGTACATCACAACCGCTTTGACAACTCCCCACATGATGTAACTGCTCATTCTGCTATTTACTGATAAAATCAATTTTTTTCAATATGATTTACTTATTTAATAACTCATTTGAATATTTGTTTACCCATTGTTTACAACTTTTTACTACTCTGTTGTTACAATTTAATATTGCCGTGAAGTTATGCATTTCTACAATTTGGTTCCCTCCCCCTTGGAGGGAGCTTCCCTCCATCCATACTATTCCTCTAAATCTAAATTGTTTGCTACCTCTCTCCATAATTTCTGCTTTGATTTAACAAACTTTTTACACACACAGCCTAAATTTTTTTTCCTCAAAATTTATGATCTTTGTATCCCCATGCATTCCAGTAAAAATTGGATGATGGATTCTCTTCCAATGCCACTACATACCAACATTTCTAATACCTAAATAAAATTTAACTCTGCTGCTAACATAAATAAATCATTTGTTATTATCATAACTAGTGGTCTGCCATAGGTGATTTCTGGATCTCCAACCCGATCTCTAAAACATTCTCGAATCAACTTAATCACACACAAAATTTTATCAAAATCGGTCCAGGCGTTTAGGAGGATATCAGTCACATACACATGAACAGAAGAATTTTATATATAAATGTATAATAATTGGAAACTATTACACTCTACAGTGTCTTTATTTTTATGCATTGAAACAATTTTTGAGCCCATATTTTTTCAATAATCCTACTGATCATTTCTATTCTCCAACCTTAGGATAGTTTTTGATACTCATAGGTTATAGGTTGCAGCAGAATTTCTATGAGTCACTTTAGGTAAATCACATCACGCCATAGGCAGACATGGGATTTTTCAATTATAAGGATTTGCCTTAATCACAATTAGTTTTTCACAATATATATAGTATTGGTCATACCATGATTCTATTTTTTTATATTTCATTGGGAACATGATATATTTTATATACAGTGGATCCCCGGTAATCCGACAAACATTTTGCAGGGCAGTGTCGGACAATCGAATTTGTTGGATTATAGAGTACTGCCTAAGACCCCCTATAGTCCGGAATTTTTTATAAAAGAGTACCTTGTAATCTGACAAATTCCAGATCCATTGATAAGATTCTATATTTTATATATATCTACTCTGAAGAACAAATTATACTTCATTATGTATGTCAAGTTTAGTAAATTGAACAACACAAGAGGGAGCTTACATTTTATTATAAAATTAACGTAAACCTAACGTAATATGCAATAACTTTACATTAGGAAATAATTGTGTACAAACAAATGTACATACTTAAATAAACAAAAATTATGAATCAATCAATTTAAGAAGCATGAAAATAATCATCAATCGCGCGTCTAGCACAATAGTAGTGGTGCGTACAATTTATAACTTGTTCAATCATGCATTTGTGAAGATTGTCAAAAATATCTAATTATAAATAATAGACCATGTTGGATTACAGGGGATGTCGGATTAGACAGGGGCCGGATTACCACTGTATAATTTAAAAATAACTGCTAATTATTTTTTTATGCCAAACAATGTTGGGGCCTCTGTATTTCAGATTGTTTGACACAAATGAAGAAAGATATGATAAAATTAAAAGTGAAGTGAGCAAAATGATAATGACCCAAGTGGGCCTCACCATGTTCCAGTACGACAGAGAACATGACAGCTACCTTGCTGTTGGCTATACATTTCACTTGTGCCCCCAGAGGCTTGGAGATATTGACCAATCATTCATATTTCAAGCATCTACACTTAAGTTTCTATGTAAACATAATTTTAACTTTAACAAGGTAATTTTTTATTGTTATTTTAATTTACTTTTTACTGGAGTATCATATAAGACCCATAAAAAATTAAACAATGAATTTTTTTTAGTTATTCTCGTACTTGTTCTATGTGGGAATCAAACCTACAACCCGTAACACCTCAGCCAAACAATAATAATAATAATGAACTCCAGACCGAATTTCGGTCATGCCAGTCTCAGCAAACCGACACGATCAGGCACAGGTCCCAGCACTATGTGCTTTCCAAGGCACGGGAGTGAAACACCGCTAACAACCTGACTCTGGGCAGCTACTGAGAATTTCTTGACAGGAAAACCCAATAATTGATTTTGGCCTGACCCGGGCTTCAAACCCAGGACCTCATAATCAGCAATCACGTTTACGACCACTAGACCAATAAGGCAGCCAAACACTTAACCACTGTACTACCAAAAAATAATTATTGTTTTAAATTAAATTATAATGAGAAATCTGTTACACCTACTTCTAACTTTCTTTTCCTCAGTTCGCATATGAGGGTATTCCATATCTCTGCAAGGCAGAAGAGAACAAGGTCCGTGAACATATGAAAAATAAAACACTTCTTAGTTACTTAACCCCTTCCCTAGAAATGGAAGAAGAAAAGCAAATACAGCATTATTGCTCTGAAGTTTGCAAGTAAGTATCTCTAAAGGTATAATAAAATAAAATATTGTCGCAGCCTACACACACCCTACAATTTTTTGACATGCAAATATCATCAAGATATGATCCTTCAACATCAACAAAAGCGTGATAACTTCAGACCAAAAGTACTATTTACTTTGCTCCTTTCTTGAGGAGAGTTCCTTTTTTTATTAAAACTTTTGTGTAGGTTAATTAATGGCCGTGCATAATAATGTCTACATAGTTTGACTTAGTTTAGTTAGTTTACAACGGGCTGTTTTCCGCAACTCCACGTCTATGCGTGTATTTTGCGTGTGGGCAGGAATAATGTGATTATTCGAGCCATGAGATCTCCCCGAAGAAGCTCAACAGTCTCTTGATGTTGCATGCAACTTCGGGGAGTGATCCCGGCGTGCCGAGATGTTTAGCCCTGTACGTAGCGACCTCCGGACATTTCAGTAGCACGTGGGCCGCCGTTTCTTCCTCCCCCATACATGCCCTGCACAGGGGACTATCTGTAACACCTATAGTAAATAAATGTTTGTTAAAGGTGCCGTATCCTGTGATAGCACTTGTTACTATCCTGATCTGCGGCTTGTTCAGTCTCATTAAAACTTTGGTTAAGCGACTGCTTATTTCAGGCAGGGCCTCCCTAGCTTGTCTACAGTCTACTAGATTTTTCAAAGCTGAGCGTGTTGATTAGTGAAGTGTCTACGTACCAGTGAACGAACGTTACCAAAGGGGATTGGTATGATTGCTTCCGGCCCTATAGTGGCCAGAACCAATCCTCTTCTAGCCAGTTTGTCTGCTGCATCGTTGCCTCTGGATCCACTGTGTCCCTTTATCCATTGCAGAGTCACATTGTTGTTTTTACATACCTCATTTAATCGTTGATGGCATTCATATATTAGTCCCGGGTTCACCACATTGCAACTCAGAGCTTATAGTACCGCCCTACTGTCGGTCAGTATTCTGATGGGGAAGTCATTAACCTTCCTAGCATCTATTGCTATGGCCGCTGGAATGATACCCATACATTCCGCCTGAAAGACCGTGTTATAGGTACCCAGCGGTGTGCATATGTGAATATTGAGGTCTTCAGAGAAAGCTCCAAAAACTGGCTTAATCTTTCCGTCTGGCTGTTTTCATTTAATTGTATCTTGTATTTCTTATCGAAAACAAATTGTTTAGGAATCTTATCGTATTTGGCTTGTAGGATAGGAATTTTTGAGTGAATTCTATCAATTATGCCTGTATGAGGGACACTATTCTTACTCCAAAGATTTAGGGTCTTGAGTCTGATGGCAGCTAAAGTTGCTTCTTGTTGTATATGTAGATGAAGCGGGGTTAGCTCCAACATCGCTTCTAAGGCTGCTGTTGGCGTAGTTCTTATGCAGCCTGTGGCAGCCATACATGCCAGTCTCTGGTAGCGCTGAAGCTTCTTTATAGTGGTGGCTTCATTTGTCTTGGTCCACCATACCAGAGCGCCGTATGTGATCATGGGCCGAATTACAGTTTTGTAAAGCCACAGTATGATTTTTGACGTCAGTCCCCATCTTTTGCCAATCATGTTTCTGCATTGCCAGAAAGTTATACTAACTTTGTTGATTTTGTTTTCTATGTATTTATTCCAGTTAAGTTTGCTGTCCATGGTAAGACCTAAATATTTTACCTCAGATATCTGGAGTTTTGTGCTGAAAAGACTTGAAAGATGATAGTTATTCAGCATTCGTTTTTGTGTGAACATTACTAAAACCGTTTTATTTGGATTGACGGTTAAGTCGTATTCCCTGCAGCATCTCTCTACTATACGGAGAGTCGCTTGGGTCAGTTCGCACACTATGCTTACTGTTTTTCCAGAGACCAGTATTGTCAGGTCATCAGCATAACCTACTGTATAGAAGTGATTGGCATTTAATTTGCTGATGAGTTCATTAATGACTATATTCCACAGGAGAGGTGAGAGAACAAGAGCCAGACAGGCTCTCATTATGGCAACAAGTCTGACTATTAGGGCTTTACCCCCCCCCCCCCCCCCCCCCACTTCCAATTGTAGGAGAGCCGGAAATATGCCGCCAGGTCCTGCCGCCTTATAGGGGAGGAAACTGTTAATGGCCCAATGGATTTAGTCCATTGTTACCACTCTCTGTGCTAAATTCCAGTCTTCTGCTGTTGGTGTCAGTATGTCGTCATGCCGGTTTGCCTCCTGGGTTACGCAGCAACCTGGGAAGTGCGTTTCAATTAGGATGCGTTGGGCTTCATCCGGCGATGTTGAGTAGCTACCGTCGGGTTTCTTTAGAGACATGGATCCCGACGTGTTCTGTTTGGCTAGAATATTCCTTATCCTATTTGCATGTTCGCAAGTTTCTATGTTGCCACAGAATTTACGCCACCCAGTCGAGCGTCGATACCTGATACATTTTTTGTATTCAGACTTAGCTTTCTTATATAGTAGCCAGTCTTCATTCATTGAGGTATTCATGGCCCTATTTAGGGTTTTTCTTACCTTCTTACGTTTCCTATCGAGTTCTTTACCCCACCACGGTTGCTTTACCTCGGCATGCCTTGGTAGGGTGATTTCTGGACATGATTCATGGTAGCTATCTATCATGGCCTTAGTAACAGCTGCTACCTGTTCTTCTAGGAGCGGCTGATCTGCTATAGTATTTATCCCCTCAAAACCCGCGAGCTTAGACGTCAGCCTATTTAGGTATTTTGTTTTATCCGTCTTGCGGGGATTTCTCCATGGTGGTGTAGAGGGGATATCGACCTGTAGTGCGAAGCAGATCCATCTATAGTCTGAGCATGAGGCCTCTTTCGACACATGCCATCCCGTAATTAGTTTGACTGCTCCTTCTGTTGCAAGTGTGAGGTCGATTATTGTGCGACAGCGTTTGTTTATGAAAGTAGGTTCAGAAACTATGTTTAAAATGTATAAGTTAGTACTAAATAAATATTCAACTAAAACCTTATCTCATTCATTTGGTTTTTCCATTCCCCAAAGGGGATGATGTGCGTTGGAGTCTGTCCCGATCACAACCTCTAGTCTGGTCCTCTCGCAGAAGTTCACCAGCCTGCCGAGGTAATGAGGGGGAGGAGTGTCTTCCTCCGGCATGTAGACCGAGGCGACGACTAATCTTCTCTCCTGTGTGTATTGTATTGCCACGGCATACATGTCTCTAGAACAAAAATCTGTTAATGGTTGTGCACAGATATCTTTAGTAGTGTAAATACACGCTCTAGGCGTGTCGTGTTCAGAGCTTAGAATAGCTTACCTTTTAGGTTGTTTAGGCCTTTAATTTTACCAGCCCCAACCCACGGCTCCTGGATTAAGGCTATGACAGTCCTTTGAACCTCCAACCAGCGTAATTGAGCCGACGCAGTTTCGCTGTGGTGGAGGTTGGCCTGCACTAGGCTAGTTTTGGACGAAGGGCACGCCATCATTGATCGCGTCCTCCCCGTCCCCGCCCAAAAATAGGCCTGCCAGAAGATCTCGGGTCTCATCGTCAGCCACCGAGTCGGAAGTGGTCGGCAAAATGCAGTCCTCTTCGTCACTCAGTGAGCTGCCGCTGAGCCTGATCTCCACTGGGGGCTTCGGCTCAATTGTGCAGGCCGTTTTTTCACTGGACTTGGCCTCCAGTGATTCCGCTGTACCGGTAACCATGGCTCCGGTATCCATAACTTTCGGGTTGTTTTCTACCTCTTTGCTCAGTGGAGTGTCAAAGAATTTACCTCCACGACCCTGGAATTTTACGTATACCGCCACATACACATGCGAGACGGCGTCCGGCCTTCATCAGGGTCGGGATATGATCCGGCACCGACACAACGAGGAACCAACCGTCCGTCTGCTTATCAGCCTTGAGTAACAGCCAGTCCCTGATGTTAACCCAGCGGTTCTGGTACGCCAGCACGCGACCAATGTCGCGTGAGTCTTTCCAGGCTCCTTGGGCATCAGGGATAAGGATACCACATTTGACTCTTAGTGGTATCTCTGACTGTTTCTTTATTGTCAGCAAGGTGTTGGATTTAAGGTCGAGGGTAGCAATATTCCCCTTCAACCACTCCAGAGCCTTATGATCGTCGCACCACAGTTTCAGGACACCCTCCGTATAAACGGGTTTGCCCCTAAAAACTGGCCCCGAATCATCAGGGTCCTGGCTACTCCAGGCCTCGCTGATCATCTTCCTCTGTATTGCCACGAGGATGTCGTCTGCTACTTCCTTCGTAATGTGACCTGAACGCGCACACGTTAAGGCCACACCCAAATCTGCTTTAGCAGCGGAAGCGTAGCTCGTTCGTGCAGCTTTTGGTTGCTGTTCGAGTCGCACTTTTTTGTGTTCCCCTCTAGGCGAGGTGGACTCTTCCAGCATCCTTTTGGCTGCTCTTTCCTTCTTCCCAGGACGCTTGGCCGCTCGCTGCTTCCTGGCGGATATCCTAGAGCTGGTTCCTGCGGCCGCGACTTCCACTTGGGCTGGATTTTTATCCTTCCCAGCTTCAGCGCGGCTACTGGTTCCAGCGCCAAGCACCCCAGTCGCAGTAGCTTGCCCAGCCTCCTTGGTTTTAGTTTCGGAAGCAGCCAATGCGGCTCGTTCTCTTCAGCCTTTTTCCCGCTGCTTCTTGTTCTTCTTTTTGGCCTTTCCACTACTGCCTGCAGGGATAGACCCTCCTGATGGTCCGTCAGGTCGGCAAGTCACCTTTTTGGGTGCCTTGCCTTTCCCCTTACGGCTCACCACTTGCCAGGCAGCAGAGAAAAGGTCGTCAGTTCGTAGTGGCTCCGCAGTTTTGTTACTCGCGGGCTCTTGTTCTTTTTTCTCGTCCAGCTCCTTGGAACTGGTTTTGGGAACGTTCAGCGAGGTACTTGTCCCTTTGGTGGGGGCACCTACGCTGGACGGTACTGTCCGTGGAACCGTCGCTTTGGTGACGGTTCCCCTTTGTTCTTTGGTGTCTCTGGTAAGCACCTCTGACACCTCTCCCTCTTTCTTATTGGGCCTTAAATTGTCCATAATTTTTTCTTCATTAAAATTCATCCCCCCGGCTTCCCACCCTCCATGGAACCCGCACCGTAGGGAACGCCCTACTTAAAAAGAAGAATTTCAGGCGTTAGGATTACCGGAAGAATATAGGGACGCGAAGTTGGCTCACAGCGCGACATCGGGAGCTCGATCCAGCTGGTAGATGGGGCTGACAAGGCCCATCCCCACCACCCGAATAAACTGTCACTTGCTCCGTCAGCATGGCCTTTACCACCACCCAGCCCCCTTTTCACGAAGACTAGGCAGCCCCCACATCCCTCGCCTGCGACCCTCTGACGGGGCGCTTGGCCATTTCCGTATCTATGGCTAGCAGATAGGGCCACCGTTTAGTTTGAAATCCGGACCAAAGAGGGAGTGTTGCTTCTCGCCACTATATACCCCAGCGACGATCGGCTCAACCCTCCAGGACTCCTTCATCCCCGCGTACGGCGCTCGCCTGCGCAGGTCCTAACGCAGGTGGGTGTGTCCACCGGATACACCCACTCTCTCCGGCGGAACCATCCCCTCCTCTTTTCTTATCTGGGCTTGGGACCGGCAATGACGGAGTTCGACTTTTCATTTGCCTGTTGTTCATCCTAAGGCTGATCAAAAACGATATTTTTGTTACAGTTTTTAAGATATTGCCATTTTATTATACTAAATGTTTTAATTTGATAACCTTATTTAATCGTTTTTCTAATTTCATTTTTGTATAATATTTTCAAATAGCTACCAAAAACCAGGTACAAATTTTGAGTAGTAAAACTATTTTATCACTCCTGGTATAAAGTAACTTATTATTGTGAATTTTGGGATAATAACAAAACTGGCAACAACTTAAAAATTATTTACAGGATGATACATATGTCCTGTAGATAATTTAATTTTTGATAAGTTCAGTTTACAATTCATATATAATATAATATTATAAAAACTAGATGCACATACATACAAACATACATAAACACTCACGCCTGTCACCCAGAGAGGTGGGCAGAAACTATCAACATCCATTTGGCAACATCCTAGCACACCTCTCTCGCCTCCTTTACATCCATATATACCTACGCATACATGTTCGTCGGTTAAGGGTACTTTTAATTTGGCCCATTTTCAAAATATCGTCTTTTGGTCGACAAACTTTCGCCTAGGGCGTCCTTCCCGACTCTGCCGTCTTCTATTAGATGTCTTCCTGTTTTAGACTTTTTCAGAACATTTAATTTATAACATAACTTTCATCATGTTAATGTATGTGTATAATCTTATGAGTCATGATAATAAAAAACTGCATTTTTCAGATGGCTTAGTGACAGCGAAGAAGGCACTATGTATATTGATATGCAAAACCCCATACTACGATACTTAATACATAGTGAAATTCGAATGAGGTTTCCCAATGTACTTACAACTGATAGCTTAGGTAATAGTAATAAGGTAATTCTTGTATCTTAAAATATTAATTGGTTTTTTATTGTATGTGAAATAAGATAACATTAAAGGTAAGATAGGGTGCAGCATCTTTGAGAATAAGTATTTGTAAGAATTAGTCTTATATTGAGTTAGTCATTTAGCAAATTAGTATTCACTAATTTTTTTGTCATTTCGCAAAATCAAATTGTTGGCTAAACGAGAGAGAAGCACATATCCAGGGGTTGACTGTTTATGAGTCACTGAATGCAGAGATGTTTTTTATTGTTTATCATACTTCTCATCAGCCCATAACAGTTCATTGCCAGGGGGCCTTTCGCAATTGAAAAGTGAATTTGCTTCAATGAAAATGTAAGCAGTTTGCAGTACCTCTACTTGACGGTACTTTCCGTCGGTGGTGTGATTATTTCACATCGGGTATTAATGAAATGGTCATAAGACTATCTATTGGTGACTAAAACATCTTTCCTGCAGCTGTACACTCACAGGACAAAAATGGGTGTTGTATTCTCTTACACCGCAACTTTACGCAACTTTGCAGTGCTTATAACCACGAGGGAATAGTTAAGTTAATTAAAAGCTGAAAGCGACCTTCAGATTTTATTAATGTCTTTGAACATAGCGTTTTATATAATCTTTGGATATCGTCCTACCTATTTAATGGAACTTGTCATGGCTCAGTAATTGAGTAGTCTAACCACTAACCACGAAATCTCTAAAACAATTCTCTACCATCCAAACAGATAGAAGCCTCTAAAACAAAATTATGTTTTGTGTGTATTCTATTATAAGTTGACATATAAAAGATAAGAATAAAAGTAACTAAGAATGACCAGCAAAATACTAAATAACCATAATTTAAATTTAACTGCAAGGTGACAAAGCACATAGTCCACCTGATGGTAAGTGGATGCTGTGGCACATCGACATCTCCATTTATCCTTTTTTTTATTCGGACAAAAAAAACAGTTACACATTAATGTTATACAAGACAATTAATTTATAAAGGAGTACTTAACGTGTAACCCACACCAATGCCCAAAAAGTAAGATTATATGCTTAGTCTTATGTTTAATTCTTGATTAAGAATCAAAATGCATATGCGTGGAACCCTGAGGACTAAGATGGAATACCTCGTTTCCAGTAAAAGAATCTCCGGTTCTCTACACTCAGTATACGAAAAACAGTAGCATTAAGCTGCTATTTTATGCAGGTAAACTGTGAGAGCGTGGTGCTTCCCATTCGTGCTACAACCATAATGTAGCTATATATACTCGTATATTAAAAGTTTTTGGTAATTAATACCTTTTTTTGGTTCAGTATATTGAGTTTAAAAAAGTATAATTACTGTTTACAGGTCATAAATTAATTGTTGTTTTCTTTTTTTTTTCTAGATTTTAATATATCGAGATAAATATATAGAAGGTGCTAACAGTGCTCCAGTGGCAATACTAGAAGAGAACTTGATGAAAGATTTATTAGGCTTTTCGCAAATAATTCAATTGTTAGCTCATTACAGGAAACCCCTGATAGGTCATAACATATTTCTGGATATGATACTCCTTCACAATCAGTTCATAAGTCCATTGCCTAGAAGTTATTCTAATTTCAAAAAAAATATTAATAGTATGTTGCCAATTATTTTTGATACAAAATATATATCACATGAAATGAGCAAGAAATTATCTTTCGATGAAGTATGGAAATCCAATGCACTTCAAGAGTAAGGGTATTTATAGCCATTTATTTATTTTTTTATTCTTATAATCTCCTTGTAAATATTTTAACGGGTTTATTTTTTATTACAGCCTGTATGAGTTCTTTGCGGAAGGTAAATGCAAGAAATTACAAAATGGCGTCAACTTCGTTAAACTCAGTACACCATTTAATGTTAATCAATCATACCATGAGGCGGGGTGGGACTCATATTGCACAGGTATTTTTTAGAGAAAAAAAAAAACAATTTAATATTTACATGTTTAATTTTGAAACTATCGGGAGTAAAATTATAAAAAAATGTTTCACCATTTTTGGCTAATTTATAATTATGTGTAAAAAAATCATACTGAAGTTTAGAATTAAAACCGTTAATATTGAAAAAAAATCGGTGGTTGCTAAGGGAAAGTCTTGCAAAATAATATCATTTGGATAAGATATAGGTTAGCTCATTTATACTTGTCAATTTTAATTAATTTTTATAATAGACCTTTTGTTGATAGAGTTATGAGACTTGAAAACATTTTAAGGCTTATTTAATATGTTTCCTTTTTTTTTTAAACTACATGGATCTAATACTAGATTTGTCTAAAGTATACAAGTCCTTAGGGATAAAAAATGGCGGCTCATCAAGCCCGTATCGTCAACATGCGCAGTACCAATAGCGAAAACACGGTATAACGTTATGTTATTCGATTAATTGAAAATTTTCTAATAATGGAAAAATATTTGAAAGTAATTGTATTCGCAAGTAGGTATTAATTTCAAAAATAACATTTATAACTAGTGACCCGATCTGGCTACGCCTGGCCCACCCATCTATTAATGTAGCGTTACTTAGACTTAAGATAATCATTAAAGACCACTTATTTTATCTTATCAATATTTCTATGTTAATAGTCTAAATTTTTCAGATAAAAGGAGACAGTAGTTTTTGGGCCCACTAGAAATTTTAAACGTAACTTAATTTTATTACTCATACCCATATATTATAGTAAACGGCCTAAAGATTTTATGAAAGTCTAACCGGAATCATGATCTCTGAAAAAGAAAAGAGTTGTTTTGATGTTCTGGCTAATGTAATATGAAAAAATGCGTGTAATGGGTATGAAAGTTCTCAATAGCTTGCTTTTACGTTGATAATATTGCCATCTCATAGGCACCAAGAGCACTGCACAGTTTTTACACATTTTATTCAAGAGATGGCGCTACTACCGGCATTTATATCATTTATTATATATAACAATAAATAAAAAAATGTTATTATTTTATTGTAAATACTATATTATTTTGGACATCAGGTATAGCCAGGGGTATAAAAGTTCTCAGTAGCAGGTTTTTATGTTGATATTAGCGCCATCTCACAGTTATTGAAAGCACTATTTTCTCCAATATTTCTACACATTTTAATAAGGCGCAGATTGAGAAAAATGTCGCGCTAGTCGTTATTTGTGCGGTTTTTAGGAGCTATCTACTTTTTATTTAAAAGATATATCAACTAATAAAAAACACATTATATTTCTACATAATCTTGATTCCATAAGAGTCATATCCAATATTTTTTTAAATTTTTCGATTTACACCAATGGATCGGCAATTTATTAATGAACATTTCTATTATAATTTTTTTTCAAAATACCAAAATTTGATTTTATTAAGAAATTATTTTAAAAACTGGGTGTATTCACTGCCCACGGGCTTGCTGGAGTCAGTGAGCGCTGAGCTCTTGAACGTGGAACCCGTTTCGTTTGTCACGGCGTCAGCCAGCGCACATGCTCGCTGACGTCATCTTATCAATCGATAATATTATTATTACTTACTAGGTTATTTATAGGTAGTATTATTTGTTTGTTTTGGGTATAATTTTTCGTATTAGTTATACATATATTTGTTGTGTTTTTTTACTGCGCGATGAAGCTTTTTGCGTGTATTTTCTTTGAAGTAAATGCAAATAAAAAAATGGAGCACAATTAGCATGTAAGGTTCGAATCCATAATTAACATTTCGACAAACATTATAATTTACACTATAAAAGGCTAATTCAATATTATCAGTATAGTATACAGTTAAAAATAATCCTAATACCCAACCACAATATCTTAGTAGGTATAGTACTGCCTCGTTGGTCTAGTAGTTGTAGTAGTGCAACTGCTGATCATGAGGTCCCGGGTTCGAATCCCGAGTCGGGCCAAAAAGTCAGTTATGAGTTTTTATTTATGTTTTAAGTTATAATTAGCATTACTAAGTTATAGTTTTTTTGCTAAAATATAGTATATATTTTAAAACAGACGAATTGATCATAACTCCCTTAGCTATAAAATAAGTTATGATCTAATTAATGGTATTTATTCCAGTTTATGGCAGCCCTGATTTATATTACGTGGCTGAAATTAGGTACTTTTTATTAGGTACGTCAAACGAAATAACAGCCGGGTGACTGACATTCATCATCATCATCATCATTACAGCCCTTCACAAGTCCACTGCTGAACATAGGCCTCCCCCAAAGAATGCCACAAAGCACGGTCCTGAGCCACCTGCATCCATCGACTTCCTGCATATCTTACCAGGTCGTCACTCCATCTAGTGGGGGGACGCCCTACACTTCGCCTGCCGGTACGAGGCTGCCACTCGAGAACCTTTCTTCCCCATCGGTTGTCGGTTCTTCGAGCTATATGGCCGGCCCATTGCCACTTCAGCTTACTAATCCGTTGGGCTATGTCGGTCACTCTAGTTCTACTGCGGATATCCTCATTTCTGAGTTTATCACGCAGAGAAACTCCGAGCATAGCCCTCTCCATAGCTCGCTGAGCGACCTTGAGCTTCCTCATCCGGCCAGCAGTGAAGGACCACGTCTCAGTTCCGTATGTCATCACTGGCAACACGCACTGGGTGTACAGTCTATTGCTCATGGGGGGTATATTGCCATAGTTGCCACGCTTGGCGAGCGGGTTGGCAACCGCAGTTTTTTATTGTTATTTTGGCTATTATCAGGAAGATGCTGCTGCCCATCTCCTGCCTGTTTCCCTTTGTCGCCTTTTACGACACCCACGGGAAGATATGGGGTAGTGGATACTCTTAACCGCCACTACACGGCATGCTGACATTATGCACTCCATAAATTTCTTATATCTAATTACAGCCCCATTAATTTCCACTAAAAGAAAATAAATAACTTGTAAATTCAAACAAAAATAACTGCATTAGTATGTCTATAGTCATATTCATACAAATCAAAAAGCCTATATATGAGATAATGTAAAGTAAGCATAATTTTACCGGGATCATAACTTGTCAAATAATTAGGAAAATTATCGTTTTTCGTTGCGTACGTGTTTTGATTTTTAATTTAACACTGTTAGGTTTAAAACCGCGAGGTAATATTTGAATAAATATACTTTACTCTAGGTACAAATAATTTTTTAGATGACAATATTTGTAGTTAAGACTACTAGAAATCTTATTTATGGAGTAAAAAGGCGGGTTCGAATCCCGCACGTAACAAGTATTTGTATGGCCTACAAATAATTGTTCCGGGTCTGGATGTTTATCCTTGAGCAATTTATGTTTGTAAACTGCCTCCACGACACAGGAGAAAATTGAATAAAAATAAAAACAAACATGTTTTTTTTTCATCCTCATCAATCATTGGGGTGAGGATAAGGTCAGCCAGCATAAGTAATAAGCAGGCTAAGTTACAAGGTGCTCAGTTCAAAAATTAGTAGGTAGGTATTGTTACTTTTCAATACGTGACACATAAAAATTAACAATAATCAAAAACAAAAATGAGTAGGTAGTAATGTTACTTTTCAATACGTGACACGTAAAAATTAACAATAATCAAAAACAATAATGAGTAGGTAGGTATGTTACTTTTCAATACGTGACACGTAAATATTAACAATAATCAAAAACACATCTGCGAAACATCTTGTTTATTTATTTATTCTTTATTGCACCAAATATTTGTACAAAAGGCGAGCTCTCTATTTATTTACCTATAGTGAGTAGGTATCTTTTAAACTCACATTTTCAATGCTTCATTTTTAATATATAATTAATTATAAAATTTCATAATTGGATAATATATGAGAATTTATAATTCTAATATAATGCAACTAATGTACCGAATAAAAAAATTAAAATACATTTATCGTTGCATTTCCTTAAAATAGTTTATTGATGTTGAAAAAATAATACTACGTTCGTACAGTAGGTGGCGTCTTACATATTTCTTACGCGATATATTGTAGCGAGTCGGCGCAGCGGACCAAATACTCAAGGTCGTTCGCATGGAGTAGCCCCTTAAAAAGAAGTCTGCAATGTGTGAACATGTTCTAGATCGTCCCCGCCATTACATTAGATTTGATAGACCACAAATCCTCGCAAAAGAACACCGATTCCTACCAAGGATGATTCGCGAGGCTATTGAAATTAAAAAACATCCTAATTTCAATAGAGAAGATGGATGGGTGCTGCCATCTGCTTGGGATCCTATAATTAATAAAACTAAATCTAAACCCAAGCATACCACTGCAAGACTTCAAGATACTGTAAGCTCATTCTGCGTAGATCGGACCAAAAATTAATATTCAAAAACTGAAGGTTAACTATGACATCGGGACGTCAAACACCTCAGTCCCCCCCCCCCCCGTGACCACGGGTGCTGTAAAGCACCCGAAACGTCGGGAATTAATAAGTTAAATTAAACGCTAAAAAATCCGTAAAAATTAGTTTCATTTAATACCTACCAATATTCATGTATTTATACATTTCAGATAGGGCCATTATATTTGATTCTGTGTACATTTTATCTGTTGATATGACACAATTGTAAGTTACTGAATGTTTTAAATAACATACGTTATATTACAGATTACATTTGTTTCTAATATTTAGGCTACTGCTTCATCAGGCTAGCCCATTGGGCAGCATGTGACAATAGAGGGAAATATCGGCCGGTTGGGCCAACTGAGAAGCTCGCAGCTATGGCCCCTTACTGCAACAAGGTCAATGTAATTCGTGGCGCTATAGCTTATATGGTATGTTTATAAACATTTTTTATATTCCAAATAATAAAATTGCTATCAAATAATAATATAAATGTTGCATCTTAAAAATTAAATATATGCAATGTAAAGATTGAAACTAAGATTTAAGAAAATAGTAAGCTAGATTTAGGTGGAATAAGAATTCCATAATATTATTTTATTTTTCCCTTTTTTTGAGCCGTGGTAGCTCAGATGGTTAGCGCTCGCTGTAAGCTTCGCAGTACTCGAGCAACCCGGGTTCGATCCCCGCCGGCACCAATGAAATTGTTAATTGCAGTTTTAAGTGCCGTGTAGTGGCGGTTAAGAATATCCACTACCCCATATCTTCCCGTGGGTGTCGTAAAAGGCGACAAAGGGAAACAGGCAGGAGATGGGCAGCAGCATCTTCCTGATAACAGCATAATTAGAATAAAAAAACTGCGGTTGCCAACCCGCTCGCCAAGCGTGGCAACTATGGCAATATACCCCCCATGAGCAATCAATAATAAACGGTCCCCAGTCCCCGGCGGCCCCGCTATTCCTGACTACGGTGGCGACCATGGTAACGGCGGGGCAGGGGGTGCTAAGAATCTCCGGTGGAGGTTCGGTTGCCACCCATGCAACGCACGCACCTTGAGGACTGACGAGAAGATCGTGGAGCTGGAAGAAGAGATAGACAAGTTATGCTGGCATATTATAGGATTATCCGAGGTCCGAAGAGAGGGGGAGGACACGGTAATCCTCGAATCCGGTAACTTGCTTTATCACCGGGAGGGCGACCATCTGTCCCAAGGAGGTGTCGGATTTATCGTCCACAAGTCTCTCGTTAACAACTTTGTAAAGATTGAGAGTGTGTCGACGAGGGTTGCGTACCTTATACTTAGAATCAACAAACGGTATTCGCTGAAGGTCATACAGGTTTACGCACCAACCTCGGCACACCGATGAGGAGGTGGAGGAAATGTATGAGGATATCTCTAGAGCCATGCATTCCTCCAAAACCCAATATACGGTGTTAATGGGAGACTTCAATGCAAAACTAGGCACAAGAGATAATGGTGAGCTGAAAGTAGGGAAATTTGGAATAGGGCAACGGAACCCAAGGGGCCAGCAGCTGGCCGACTTCATGGACAAAGAGGGACTCTTTATGATGAACTCTTTCTCCCAGAAGCGGCCCCACAGGAAGTGGACCTGGTCGAGCCCCGACGGTTCGACAAAAAATGAGATTGACTTCATTATGACGACCAGACGACAACTGTTCAGTGATGTCTCCGTGATCGCGAGGGTGAAAACTGGTAGCGATCACCGAATGTTTAGAGGCACACTGAACCTAAACGTTAAGTTGGAGAGGTCTCGTCTAATGAAGTCAACGCTCCGTCCCCCTCGTGCCCTATTCCAGAGCCCCGAAACTTTTCAGCTCGAGTTACAAAAGCGTTTTCAGTGCCAAGAAGACTGCAATAATGTGGACGATATGAATGACAAGCTCGTGGAAACTGTCCATGCGGTCGGAGCTAAGTTCTGCAAGACCCGCCGCAGAAGAACACAAAAACTCTCCGATCACATTCTTAATCTCATGGCAGTTAGACGGGAGGTGAAGCTACATTCTTCAACAGATTTGATAGCATACAGGCAACTGAACAGACAGATCTCCAATTGCATGCGGCGGGACTTACGCAACTTCAAGACAGCTTGTATTGAAGAAGCGATCGAGCGGAAGCAAGGCTCCAAAGTCTTTGCACGAGATCTGTCTGCCAGAAAGAGCCAACTGTCAAAGCTGAAGACCGACTGTGGCAGCATCGTTTCCGTGACACCCGAGATTTTGAGTGAGATTAAGAGGTCATATGGGCTGCTGCACACGTCATCGTTGGAGCCACACGCAAGTGTGGGTAACGATCCAAGAGCGAGTCTTATCCGACACTATTCCGAAGATATCCTGGACGTCAGTCTGAGCGAGATTAGAATGGCTCTCCAGCACCTTAAAACGGCAAGGCCCCAGGCGAGGATGGAATTACAGCGGAGCTTTTGAAAGAAGCTCTTTAATTCCGTCCTCCATGGTGGCACTACTCCGGAGGCGTGGAGCAGAAGTGCGGTGGTCTTGTTCTTCAAGAAAGGTGACAACGCACTCTTGAAGAACTACAGACCGATTTCCTTTCTGAGCCGCGTCTACGTGCTGTTTGAATCGTCTCGCACGCAGACTTGACGACTTCCAGCCTCCCGAACAAGCCGGTTTCCGAAAAGGCTTTAGTACCATAGACCACATACATACCCTGCGGCAGATTGTACAGAAGACAGAGGAGTATAATCTGCCACTTTGCCTTGCGTATGTGGACTATGAGAAAGCCTTTGATTCCGTCGAAATTTGGGCGGTGCTGCAGTCCCTTCAGCGGTGCCAAGTTGACTGTCGGTATATCGAAGTGCTGAAGTGTTTGTACAGTAGAGCTACGATGGCTATTCGAGTACAGAATCAGAGTACGAAACCTATCCAACTGCAGAGAGGTGTAAGACAGGGTGACGTTATATCCCCGAAACTCTTCACCGCTGCATTGGATGACGTTTTCAAGCTACTGGACTGGAAAGGATGCGGTATTAACATCAATGGCGAGTACATCACTCACTTTCGATTTGCCGACGATATACCCAAGCAGCACACAAGCGTTATGAACATCAATATACCAGCCCATATAGAACTTAGAGTTTTATTAGAAGCGTATAAGAGTGTCGAAAAGAGATTGTATACTTATAAGAGTGGCTTATGAGCTATTATACAGCTCAACCTGTTTAAAGTCTGTATTATGGGATCTAAGTAAGCTTAGGGTTCTTAATCAGAATATGAAAACTCTGCTATACAGCTTTAAGTATTTTGTTACACTTCAATCTGATTTTATCATCAAAGCTAAAAATCTATTTATTTTGCCAGCAAATCAAAGAATTGGGCCACAGAAAGAAATATATTAGTAACTTTAAATGATTTAGCTACAATTGCAAATTGTAGATTTTATTAGCTAGATATATTAGCATCTAATCGCTTTTTTGGCCATCTTAAAACGCCTTTTGATTCCCACAAACTTGGTACAATGAAAATGCAATTTTTCCCATTCTCTATGCTTTCTAAAATTTTAAACGGCATATTTTCCTAAAAAGTAAAATAAAACCAGTATAAGATACACAACACAGTTAAATTACTTCACAAAAGTAAAATTATGTATCATATAAAATAGCTAACTCTTTTGGTTTTGCCGTACCTACGTGACGTAAGAGTATGAATAGAAAACGATATGCGTATTATGCGCTTGCCAGGAGTTACCTATCAACTAAACACAATAACAAAATAAACAGCATGCTCGTACTGGTACCGTACTGCTGAGCGAGATAAAATATTCTATCACAAAATGTGCCTTTCTTAATATTGTTTGGCAAAGAAAGAAATAGCTTTAATTCTTTACTCAACTTTTTAACATTAGAAAGAAAAGATGTATAGCTAATCTTTATTTGCTAAAGGTAGTCATATTTTTGGTTTGGTTTATGAATTTAACTGAATCAAAGGGGTAGTAATTTATTGCAAATAAATACAATCATTTCGATTAAATCGATGGTTTTAGGTTGGTACAAAAATAAAAATATATTTTTTCAATTTATTAACTTTGTCTGTGTGGCTTTATATAGTCTCTGTCTTAAAAGAAGTGAAAGAAGTAAGCACTTTTTTTGTCCTTGTCCATAAAATATAACAACAAAATTACTTAAACACGATTAAATCTTAAAAAATTATTATTTAAATGAGATAAAGTGAAGAAGGGATAAAAAGTTGTTTCTAAGAAAAAGGTTTTTCATCTTTTATACATATCTCTAAAGACAATTATCTGTGATGTTTTAAAAATTACTATACACCGTTAGTAATCAAAATATTGTGTTATACAGCTGATTAAAAACTTATGGCTGTATAATAGAATCCATAACATACATAGTACAGCTACTAAGACTATAAGACCCTCGAAATATCCTTTAGGCTGTTTAGCAAATTGTCCCCATTTTAGGACCTATATAAACATTACTTTCTTATTCTAACCTATAAAATCAATATTTACTTACTATATTTAGTATTTTGTCCTTATATTATTTCGTTATTTTGCTGGCGCGGCAATTCTTTGATAGAAATCATATACAAGTTTACCGTAAATCTAATTTTGCACTTTCTATTCACCAGTTATCACCGTCAAAACTCAACTCTAATCCAAGTAATATTAATATGTAATATAATCTTTCACTCACTTAATGTCGCCATCATCCAATAAAATATATAAATAAATATATTAAGTTATGTTTGTCATAAATTCATTTGTGATACCGTTCAAACACCAATTTAGAACTTTTATCTTTAAAAGATACTTATAAGATAGTATTTGTAGTGTAATAGTTTCATTGTACACCAAATAACAGCTATTATACAGCCCCTTTTGTGCTAGTACAGCTACTGTACAGTGCTACTAACGCATAAAGCTGTATAATTTGTGCCAATTTTTTACTTATAAGAGCTGTATAAGCGCTTATACAGCCTTTGTACAGCCAATAAATGCAGCCTGTAGTATAAAAAGGAACTCCAATACAGCTCGTATACAGCTTGCATGCTGCTTGGGTAGTCCCTATGGCAGAATCGCTGGAGGACCTAAGCACTATGCTCAATGACCTCAATAGTGTCTCCCAACGGATAGGTCTTAAGATGAACATGGACAAAACAAAGATCATGTTTAATGTCTATGTCACACCTATGCCGGTAGTTGTTGGGAGTACTAAGCTCGAAGTTGTTGACGAGTATGTTTACCTGGGGCAAATAGTCCGACTAGGTAAGTATAGCTTCGACCGAGAGGTCAATAGACGGATTCAACTCGGCTAGGCAGCGTTCGGGAAACTACGACACATCTTCTCGTTAGACATACCTCAAAACCTGAAAACGAAATTGTACAACCAGTGCGTGTTGCCAGTGATGACTTACGGATCTGAGACGTGGTCCTTCACTGCTGGCCGTATGAGGAAGCTCAAGGTCGCTCAGCGAGCTATGGAGAGGGCTATGCTCGGAGTTTCTCTGCGTGATAAACTTAGAAATGAGGATATCCGCAGTAGAACCAAAGTAACCGACATAGCCCAACGGATTAGTAAGCTGAAGTGACAGTGGGCCGGCCATATAGTTCGAAGAACCGTCAACCGATGGGGAAGAAAGGTTCTCGAGTGGCAGCCTCGTACCGGTAGGCGAAGTGTAGGGCGACCCCTCACTAGGTGGAGTGATGACCTGGTGAGACATGCAGGAAGTCGATGGATGCAGGTGGCTCAGGACCGTGCTTTGTGGCATTCCTTAGGGGAGGCCTATGTTCAGCAGTGAAAGGCTGTAATGATGATGATGATGAATTTTAAGTGCTGATTTACCACGTGCTCGGCGGTGAAGGAAACTGCATGTCTAAGAAATAAGAAAAAAAATATTTCGAAGACATGTGAAGTTCGCCAACACGCATTAGGTCAGCGCGGTAGACAATTCCTTGCCCTAAAACCCTCTCAGAAATGAGAGGAGGCATGTGCCCAGCAGTGGGACGTAAATAGGCTGCAACTTTACTTTACTTTCCCTTTTTGCTATAAATTATTCCAGTAAACCTTAATTTCCCGCACCTTTTATATTGAAAAGTAACGCTCTTATTAGCTCAATCTCCATTTAGCTTCATAAATTTAGTAGTTATAATGATCTTTTTCCAATTGGTTTTTCATTTGTTTCCTCAGTCATTTACGCAAAATACAATGTGATACGAGGGTAACACTGAAAGTTCTTAGAAAGTCAAAAACTGAACTGAATTTTATTATATCTTTTCAAAATAGTGTCCATTTACATTAATAAATCGCTGCATCCGATGGAACCACTGAGAAAAGCACTTTGCCTACTCGTCCTTAGTGGTCTCTTCGAAGGCATTTTGAAACGCAGCCACTGCTTCCTCGGCGTCCATAAAACGTTTTTCTTTTATTTTCGGAAATAAATAAAAATCGCAAGGTGCGAGGTCGGGGCTATAGGAGGTGACCCACAGTAATTCCACGTCTGACATCGCCAAGTAGTCAATTGTTTGCTTGACGGTGTGCGACGAGGTGTTGTCATGGTGAAGGAGGATCCTACTGCGAGATCGTTTCTCCCGAAATATTGTGAAAATCTTTGAACCATTTCACGACACCAATCAACATGACGGAAATTTTGGGCCTCTGTCAAATTATGAGGTATCCACCGGGCACAAAGCTTCCTGACCGCTAAATGTTCATAAAGGATTTTGTGCACTTGACTCATACCAATACCTAAGCTTGTCCGAATCTGCTGATAAGTCACACTGACGTTATCTTCAGTCGTCGCCGTAGAAGGCCGTCCCTCACGCAGATAATCGGTGAGATTAGTGCGACCACGTTTAAACTCATTGAACCAGTTGTAAACAGTGGCACGAGATGGGGCTTTATCGTGAAAGGCCAATCGAAGTCTATCATAACTTTCTTATTAACTTAAATGACATCGAAAATCATAAAATATCATTGTACGAAAAATTTCTCGCGTTAAATTCATGCTGACGTGACACAGACAATTTTCAATTTGTCGTGTGTATATGGATGTGAATGAAGCGAGAGAGATGTGTCAGGATCGTGCTAAATAGAAGTCCGTAGTCTCTTCCTACCCCTCTGGGTAACAGGCATGAGAGTTAATGTATGTATGTGTATAAATGGGCTACAGTAGCCACTGTCATACAATTAGTTTTCCTAAAAGACCAATGTCATAGTGCACGTAGAGTGCGGGAAAACTATTTATAAAATAAACAACTGCTTCAACAACTTAAAACGATTTTTTTTTTTATTATTTCAATCCGTCCTAAATTGGCGAAAGAATTTACGCCACGCTTTACTGTATAATGGAGACCGAAACGATTCTTTAATATATATGCAGGAACTAGTCATAACTGATAAATACCTAAAACGATAATTGTGTTTTGTCAGTGTGTACAAATTTAAAAAGATAAAAACAGTATTCCACGTGAGGCCGAACCTGAAATGAAATACTGTCCCGATCACGAATGCTGAACACACCAAACTTTTTAGAGGCCAATTAAGCCTTCTCGAAGTGACCACGAAACTGCACATCACTCGATATATCGACGCCGAGGATTCCGATACTGGCTGAGGCAACAGGGGAAGTGCCCTGAAACTGAGAAGATACAACAAAGGGGTTCCTTTTAGCGGTAAACGCACAAACTTGTGTCTTTGGTGATTGAACTGGACTAGATTTAGTCGTCGAACAAAGACTCGACTTCAAACAAGTTTGTTCCGGTACTCGACGTGTTCCCGAGAAATATTGGCTCGGCCGGGGTAAAACGCATCACCAGTGCTGTCGTCCGAATAGCAATGATTGTTAGTGGCTTACAACATAACATAACAAATACTCACTTTAAAATATGCCATCGAAATATTTAATAATTTTTACACATGCAGGTTTTCTCACGATGTTTTTCGTCGAGCAAGTGCTAAATCCGCATTTAAAATTGCATGTAACTTTGTTTGGTGCCGATAGGGGCGAACCCAGATTGTTCGCATACTGTGAAATTAAGGGCCACGGTAGATACTAACCATCTTGCACCTTTGACACTCCTTCCAGTCAACGTCCAGATTCTTAATCGACGACGCACTTAAAAAGTTAATATTTTGTTAATTGACAAAAACCGCTTATGTTAGTATCCTGAACAGTGCCGTGTGAATAAATTATCAATTATATTTCAGAACTTAGCTGAAAATGATCCGCCGAAACATCGTCCCAACCTGTTGCACATCAAATCTATAAAGGAGCGTATTATAAATATCGAAAAGGTACGATGCAATTATATTAGCAGATATAAAACAAAGATATTTTCCAGATATCATAATGATTTCCCCGCGAGCACCTAATAATAGTGCACACAAAACGGTGGCAAACGGTCGCTGTGCGACCTTCGTGAAACATATTGCCCAATAACTATCACAAAGTTTACACTAAACCTGGCAGGATAAAGACGTTGCATAAGGAGCTCGAGACGATACTATTTTCGTATTACGCTATGAACACGTTCCGTCCGCGTTGTCTCAATCCTCTGAGCCAAATTTAGCGGCCATATGTAAGGGATCGAGTATGGTAATAATAATTGTCAACGTTGGTGCGCCGTACCGTGGAAGCGCATTCCAACTGTGCGCACAGATAAAGACAATGTTTAGGTTGATTTGAAATCGGAACACAACACACCGACACCGTGTTTGACAAACATTACCCGTTGGAAAATCGGCTGACATTTGGCGTGCCGCCAGAAAGCCATCTAACGCACACAATCGCGAACCGCACACCCACACACATGCCATTACACATATTTCCCGTTGCTAGTTAAAACAGATTGATAATGCCCAAGTGTCACACGGGAAAAACTTTATTTTCGCTCTAGGCCGTCGTTTTAAAAACTCCATCGGGTGTTTGATTACTGAAACGCACGGGCAGTCATTTTTCATGCCACTGTCAAGGTTGATTTAAGGTTACGTTATAAATACGATCTCGAAACGAATGTCAACGTGCCGTGGCTCCTAGGTATAGAGACGTCTGTCGCTTAGGTTATAGATAGAATTTGCAATGGCATTGTTAGCCCAGGGGTGGCTCGATTATATTTGTGCTGATTGTTGTACAGGTGGCGTCCGCGCTGGCCGCTTTTGGATCTGTCGACGTAAAACCTTACGGCAGCCGCACCGCACTTATAGCGACTGGCACGCAATTCACGTAAGTCTCTGACGTAATATATCGTGATAAAATCAATTTCGATATAATGCTTTGACGCAAATGAATTCAAAAATTATATAAGACAATTTCCACAGGTGTCGTTAGCTTGACCGTTACCAAATGAAGGATCATTTTTATCAATGATTGAAAAGCTTAAAGAGCGAAAACACTTTTAAAGAAGAATAAGTCATAAACTGTGTTTAAAGTCATGAACACACCAGCTGTGTATTCAAATTGCTTAAGAGTAGATAAAGAAAAACTGAAAATTTTAGTTTTAATGATCCACTAAATTTGAGATTCATACCATACAAGGTATCATATTATAAATTAAATTTATAATTTTAAGATGTGTGGACAATTAATATTTAAAAAAAAATCAAATGTTAAAATACACCAGAATTGGCATACTTGTTTCAATCTAAATTCTAAACCAATCAAACTCAAAAAGGTCCTATTTAACGTTACAGTAATATTATATAATAATTTTGGGATGAATTAGGGTATTTTAATTATAATAAATAAATATATATTTTAATTCAAACACATAATTCAAGAGTTAATAAACTTTTTACTTATTCTTACTTATTTTACATTTATGTTAGGGTTGTGAGGGTATGGATAGGGAATATATTTACAGGCTGCTACGGTATTCGGTCTTAGTCCTCAAAGGTGATAGAGCACCTGAAACTTTTGTGTTAGAGTCTATTAGTAGTGTTTTACTTAGTTGTTCTATATTCTGAGATGTCAGTGCTGTCAGCCTTTTGGCTTTTAGATTCAACTGACTGAGGGCTGCTGGCTATATAATATGTCTGCAAGAACCCATGGGTTGCGATAACCAGTTTAACTGTAAGCTCGTCACTCCAATGTTGTAAACTCATCTCCTGAGAGTCGTAATCAAATATGCCAAAATGCTTGTGACTTCCGACAGCTTGGGTAAATTTATATACAGCTGCTGTGGCCTATTTACTACCTTCAATAATGCGATATAAGATTAAATATTTAAAAAGGTTTCTAGGCTTACGCAAAACCAAAAAAGTGTTTGTATTTAGTTTTTCATGAACAAAGCTTCTTTTAGCAGTAGTTGCTTTATATAGTTTTCCTTTAATAGTTTTGATAAGTTATATATAGTTTTCCTTTAATAGACCTTTAATAGTTTAATATATATTTTTATAATAACAAAATTTCAACGGGTTACAAATGTCGAAACCTACCTAATAACAGATGGTTATTGCTGCCGACAAACACCTTGACCAACTTCTAACAAATAATGTAAGTGCGTTGTCAAATCTGATATCTAAGATGAGAGTGCTTTACAAACTATAGTTATTATGGCTATCCATATCTTTTAAACTTAAAAAAAACAGCAGTGAGTAGTTATTACGGTATTGTAGTAATTTAAATGGTTGTCATTTAAATAGTAGTCATTTAAGAAAATAAAACAGATTCACATTAGTTTAAATTTATGGTATGTAATTTACATAACATTGTTTCAGAGCGGACAAAATCTTGAAGCAGTTCCGGGATAGCCGAGATTACAGAATATCGACGTATAACGCTTTCAGACATTCCGCGGCTGGTCGCATCGCAATCTGGTACTTAATTTCTTATAATTTATATTTATGTTTGTCACGCCTTTCCTATTTTACAACTGCTTTTAAACAATTATATAAGTGACGGAAGAAAAAGCCCATTAAGCAAGATTAATGATTTGTTTAGTACTAGAGGTTTCGTATGGTGAGTGTAAAGAACCCTTTTTACTAAAAATTAGACATTCCATCGTAGTCCTCAGGCATGACAACGTATCTTCATTTTGATTCTTAATTGAGGATAAATCAGTGTACTCGTATGTCACCCTATTTTATAAAAAAAAAGAATTTAATTTAATGAAAACTCAATCAGGTGTGAAATTGTTTTTCAGTCTTGTATTCGATAACAGAGGGTAGAGCTTATATCGATAAAAGACAAACTCACGCATGTACGAACTTACGAATACATACACACACAAGCGTGTGCGCGTCCGCACGCATAAATCGAACCGAAAATTAATTAAAATTTTAGAATATATGTGGTTTAGAAAATGTATATGTAAATGCTAATGGAAAAAAATATTTATGAATTCAAGTATTTGACATTGGCACGATACAATGCTATAAATTTAAACATAATCTGCTCTGCCTTAGAATAATAAAACTTTAGTATAGAAAAGTACTATAAAAAAAATTAGATGACAGTTGTAAATTACTCCATGAACAATTTCATTGCTTTTAGGGTTCAACTGTAATATAAGTAACCCTTTTAAGTTCTTTCCTTCCGTCTGATCATACGTAATATCACAGAATATAACTTGTAGATTTTTGACAGAATTAAATAAAAATTAAGGCGTAAAGTATATTCTTTTTCTGAAGGTCCCTAAGTCGTATCGGTCCGGAAAAATCGCTGATGGTAATCGATTCCATAAGGAAGTTGTGCGAGGAAGAAAACATCTTCTAAATCGCACAGTGGTGGACCGCCAATCATCCAGATGGTGTGGATGGTTTCGGGAGTTCTGTCGCGATGTGCGTTCGTGAAATTTGCCGGCTGGAATTAATCCGAACAATTTCTCAGAGCACTCCCCGTGGTAAATGCGAAAGAAAATGCAAAGGGATGCAACATCTCTTCGCAGCGCCAATGAATCGAGCCGATCGGAAAGGACTCGGTCGTCGACGATTCGAGCCGCTTTGCGTTGGATGCGGTCAAGTAGAAGAAGCTGGCACTGGGGTACCCCAGCAAAGAGATGGGAATAGTATTCCATGTGAGGCCGAACCTGCACCTTGTAAAGTTGCAGGCGTTGTGCCGGCATGAAATACTGTCCCGCTCTGCTGAGCATACCAAGCATTTTAGAGGCCAATTTGGCCTTCTCTTCCAAGTGACTACGACTTTTACTTTATTTTATCAACTTGCTGTAAGTGAACAGACAGAGTAAACAAATATTTTAAATAATGCTGAAATTCCATATACTACTACACTTAGCAATTAACTTAATCTTCGAAATATCAACCATCAAATTAGCCATGTGCAAAGCAATCTTTTTAACAGTGGTAGAGCCACGCGGCAGCTTTTGCTGTCGCACGGATGGGCCGGCTCGAACCGGGGTGGTACCACGACCTCACAGAAAACCAGCGTGAAGTAGATGTTTACCTCTGCGTTTCGCTTGGTGAGTGCAGGTGGCCGGAGGCCCTTTTTACTGGAAATGAGGCATTCCCTCTTAGTCCTCACGGGTGACAACGCATCTACATATTGATTTGTAATAGAGGATAGATGTAGATGTCTATGGGCCACAGCAACCACTTACCATTAGGTGGACTGTGTGCTCGTTTGTCACCCTTATCCTATAAAAAAAAATGTAATACAACAGAAAATCTGAAAATAACTTCTAAGTACTGAGTACTTCTTACGATTCAAATTTTAGACTAGAATTTAAAAGTAGGAGATAATTTTCACTTCGGAACCCTACCTTACGCGTGTACCAACATGCACTTGCCTTTTTTATATTTCAAGGTTTAATAGAAATATTCACTTACTCCCACACAGAGTTCAATTGCTGCTGGCAAACAAACTCAAGATTTTGATTGCATCAGTCGTACTATGAACGATCCAGTCACCCTTTCAGTTATAATATGATAAAATTTAATTTTTGAGACTACAAAAACTTCAAACCGTTTTGACAATTTTTATAAATCTTTTTAAACTATGTAGTAGAAAACAAAATTCAATTAAAATTTTTCATTGCCAAACATCCGTAATTGTATTCCGTAATTTATTCACAATAAAATGTCATCAGATAAATTATAATGGCTCTATAATAATAAATTATATATTAAGCCAATTTACTTGATAAAACGTTCGTAGCGTTGGTAGGAGACAGTTGGTAGTTAACGTCAAAAATATTCAGTTATTACGTTGGGTTTTCTGGGTTTGAATTTCAGCTAAGGCGAACATTTTTATAAAATCGCACGTTAATAGTTTTTGCGTCTGGTTGTCTGGCATTGTCTCTGACACGAAATCGCAGCCTACCCACGATTTTATTAAATATGCGTTTCATCGTTTAGAACGTGTAAGTGCGCCTCTGTTGGTGTGCAACTATGTCCTTTGTAAACGGGCTGTTAATATAATTGGATAATTGGCAATTCAAAAGAATTTTGTAATTTAAATTTTTGCTATAAATAAAAATAATAAGGTTCCTTTCGCAATTTGAAACCGTAAACTAGTTTCAGATTTTGCAATGAAAATATGCTAGTATGATAGTAGTCTGTAAACAATAATTTGGTACATGCATCTCTCCTGTAGTAAAGGGGATTCACACAAATGTAACTACGAACTTTTTAACCGCAAAAATTTACTATACGCTATTGGGTCTTAATTTACCGCGGCTGCTTGTACCAGATTTGCCCTCCAATTGTTCCACGTTTCGTCACTCTGCTGGCGGATTTGATTGCCAGACGTCTCAAACCTTTTTTACGTTACTCCGTCGCTGGTTCCTGTTTTTATTCATCTGGCAAACACATATTTGAAATGTTTCAACCGCCATCTATCGGACATCAGAAGATCTTTCTTGTATGTTTCTTAGTTGACTTAGGCTATATTAGTAGTATAGTTGTAGCACAAATGGGTCGGCTCGACCGGGGCAGGATCTCGTAGAATAGCAGCGTAAAATAGCAGCTTAATGCTGCTGTGTTTCGTATGGTGAGTGTAGAGAACCGGAGACCCTTTTTTACTGGACATACTATCTTAGTCCTCACGGGTGACAACGCATCTGCATTTTGATTCGTAATCGAGGATAGATGTAGATGTCTATGAACCACAGCAACCACTTACCTAGGACTGTGTGCTCGTTTGTCACCCATATACTATAAAAAAAGATATTGGGGGCTCATAAGAGTCCGTAAGAGCAAGTGACTGCGCTTCGTTCTCGTGGACATTATTATACAATAATATGTCCCTCACAGTTATTTCTTCTTTTCTTCAACACCTACCCACAAAAGTCTACTGCTGGATATGAGTCTCTCCCGTTGCAGGGAGGGTTTGTCTTAATGGTCAGTGGATTAACGATATCGACGACACGTCTCGCACTTTCGACTCTCCTTGGTAGATGTAGGATTTTACGTTTGGCGTAAACGAGACGGTATACCGCTGTCTAATACAAACCATAAGATTTATCTGACATTTACCAAAGTTGCCTCTTACGACACCCACTTTACAGTTATTCGTTTATCGCTTATTGCAATCATTTTAAGGTTTACAAACATAATGCGGCATTCTTTAACAGTGTGTATCAGTAGTTAGCCGTCGAAAAGTTGTCGCGATGGTCAAAATTACCTTCATGTTCATGTTTCAGGGGCGGTGCCTTCATTACTGGAAGTCTGTTGTTACTACTAATACATAAGAAGGTGAAGTCGTGAACACAAGCAGAGTTTGTTAAAACATCCGCAAAAAAAGTAACAAAGTGAAACGTTTAAAAAATCTCTGCGGACTGTCATCGTATTATCATTTTGTTAAGGCTTTGTAGTTACTTTACAAATTTATTAGAATATTATGATATAATTAGAATATTATGATGCATAAGAGAATTTAAAACTATAGTATATAAGGAACATATAAAACAAATCAATTGTTACTACCTCAGAATAAATATTTTGTTAAAGAACTCATAATTCTTTAATTTTATCTTCATTATCATCATTACAGCCCTTCACAAACCCACTGTATATTTCTTTAATTATTGTTAAACGCGTAACCTATTTCAACGTTCTCGGTTTGCTTATCATGATTAACTTTTTTTTTAAATAAGTATGATTAGGCAGCACACGTTACTCGCGATGGTAAGTGGATGTTGTAGCCCATAGACACCTCTATACTCGATTAGTAATCAAAATAAAATAAAAAGTTGTCTACCCCTGATCCCAAACACTGTATTTTAATTAGTCAACACGTACGAGAAGCTAAGAGTTGTTTTTTTTTTTTAAGGAAAACCTTATCATCTCGGCATGCTCTACTAGTAGTCGCTATTGGTTGTGTCTTTTTTTTTTTTACCGACAGAGTATACTTTCACAGTGATCCCATTTATTTATTTTTAATTCAACCATATCCGATGAGTTTTTTTTTAAATTATTATTAGCTGCCAGTGATTGACTTCAGTTCCACCTGTTGATAAGCGGTGCTGGACCCCTCGACAGCGAATCTCATTCACACTACATGTGCGTTAAAAAACTGTTTGACGACCTCATTAGAAGGTAAGGAATTAAAGTTTCACCAGTTTTCACATACACGGGAATTTGCTTAAACTTGTGAAATAAAATAAAATCATTTTTCTTTACTTCCCGTTCTGACAACCCTAGCAATTTATTGTTTATGTCGGCTTTTCCGACAACATCAAACGCGATGACTGACTGTATGTTCTTCTTAGGCTGTGCTATTACCTTGAACACACTTGATTGTAATCGCACGGAAAGACAGACACCGACCAATTATTTCACTTCATTGCTGTTGCTCCGATCCTCAGACCAGGGGAAAGCTTGCTTTTGGGCTAGCGTACCAAATCCTCAAAGTCCATTGAGGTCATAATTTTCCAGACAGACCTAGGTAGTACCACGACCTCACAGAAAACCAGCGTGAAGTAGAGGTTTACCTCTGCGTTTCGCTTGGTGAGTGCAGGTGGCCGGAGGCCCTTTTTACTGGAAATGAGGCATTCCATCTTAGTCCTCACGGGTGACAACGCATCTACATTTTGATTTGTAACAGAGGATAGATGTAGATGTCTATGGGCCGCAGCAACCACTTGCCATCGGGTGGACTGTGTGCTAGTTTGTCACCTTCATCCTATAAAAAAAAAAGAGTAGGAGTTAATTGAATTTAGCCAGTAGTTAGCAGGGTCGGCACGACTGCTTTTCTTGGGAACAGGCATGCACATTGGCTAGCTTCCAAGATTTTGGGCTCTATCCAGTCCTAAATAAAAGGCGGGACAAGCATATCAATATACTCGTAGAAGGCAACTCAGGAGCACCAGCCTATATGACTATAGCAGCTTTTTTATAACTTTCGCTGCCACCTGCCACTCGAGGACCTTTCTTCTCCATCGGTTGCTGGTTCTCGAGCTATATGGCCGGCACATTGCCACTTCAACTTATTGATTCGTAAGTAAACTAATTTTGAAAAATACGTTATTATAGTTGTTTTCGAACGTCTAGTTGCGGAGTGAGAATATACACTACCCTATATCGTTGGGTGTCTTAAGAGGTGACAGACGGTAACAAACGAGGTGGGCAAAAGCGTCCTACTAATAAAAAAAATAAATAAAAAAACTGCGATAGCCAACCCGCCTGAGAAGTGTCTATGTTCAGCACTCAGCACACCCGGATGCCTATGTTCAGCAGTGGACTTTTAATAGGCTGTAAAGGTAAACGGTATTGCATTTATTTATTTTTATATAATAAATTTTCTTTTACAGTCGTTATTAGGAAGACGCTGCTGCCCATCTCCTGATTTGTTTCTCTCTATCGCCTCTTACGACACCCACGGAATGATATGGGGTAGTAGGATATTCTTACACCGCCACTACACGATCTTTAATTAGTTAAATAAATAAATTACTAAAATGACTACTATTAAAAAAAAACTTGAATCGCTTCAGAGGCAAGTTTTTTAATAGAATATGAGTGACAAACAAGAACACAGTCCACTTGATGGTAAATATATGTTGAGGCCCATCGACGTCTAAGTCCATTTATCCTAGATTAAGAACCAAATGCAAATGCGTTGTCTAAGGACTAAGATGGAATGCCTCGTTTCCAGTAAAAATGATCTTCGGTTCTCTACACACACCATACGAAACACAGCAGCCTGAAGCTGCAATTTTACGCAGGTATTCTGTGAGCGCATGGTCCTACTTCGGTTGAGCCCACCAATTCATGCTACAACCATAATATAGCTTCAGGTTGGCTCTACCATCTATAATTTTTTTTATAAATTTTTCGCAATCAATCTTTCAACGGAACCCGAGAAATAAAATTCACGCTAAATGGAACATTTCCTCGGTGTCGGTCAAACAATGAGTAAATAAAACATACATTATTACGGCCTAAATATTCTCTGTTTATTTTGGCTCAAGAATTTCAGCTTCAAACTATATCAAATTTAGTTTAGTTTTTAGTGTTTCATTCACCAAAGTGCAGCAAGTAATGAAGTAATCAGCAGGAAGTTGCACGGTCGCCGGTTTTGAATTGTTCTACGAGTGAACGGTAAATCACCATATATCACGCATGTCAAAATGTTTGCCCGGCTTAATACCGCGGCGGGGGCGGGTGGCGCTGCATAAGCAAAGTAGAATCGTTTCCAGTCGGTTATTAAACGCAATTGATTCCATTCCAACACAAATGGATTTTATGCAACATTAAATCGGCTTCTCTCTTCGTTTTAGATTGTCAGTTTGATACCTTGATTTACGGTTTGAGGTATCTTCATTTTAGACTATTTATACTATGGAACCTTGATTCTATTATACGAATACGTTTTCCTATTTTGATACATCGTAGAGAAGCCATGACGTTGTCTTGTCTTGTAGTATATACCAGAAAAAACTAGTGACTTTCAATAGACAGCGGATTATTACACGCTAGTTTAAATCCTACATCAAAATTATAGCAACCCGTCCAACATGAAAAGACCTGACCAGCTGTAAATTTTTTTCAGGCTGACGATGATAACTGTCTATTTATATTTTGAATGTCGTCCATGCACGTCTGCAGCGAACCTCAATGAAGGTGCGTTTTTTCCAAAGAAGCGTTGTTACTCCTAAGAACTAAAATGGAATACTATAATTATCCTTTTATACATTTCTTTTTTTTTAAAGTTACTCTAGAATATTCTCCCGTATCTTGAAGATGTTTACGTACATAAATTACACTTATACAAATACCAGAATTGGAACCCACGGCTCTCAACTCTCAATCAATACTTAGCCGCAAATCAATACTTAGCCGTTAAGGCTTTAACTAGCCTGAATGACCTTGACGAAACGGCGATCGCAGAGATTTTAGCCGATGTCAACACCGTCTAGCAACTACGTTTTGTATTACTTATAAAAGTGCAAAGATTAATAGACTGCAGAGATGACAATTATATAAGTGACATACTGCCTGTTATGCTTGCGCATCACTGAGAATTATGTCGCGGTTACGCATCTTCAATTACATTGCACGGTGTGGTGCTGTAGCTTTGTCCGGTAGGCATCACGACCTATCAAGTGTTCAAGTTTCAAGTACGTAAGAATTTTTATTATATATGTTAAATCGTATTTATTTGTGTCGTATTAAAAATATGTCGTCAAAGCGTTCGCTGTAAATTTGTCCCGGGTTTGATCCCCGACAGCACGAATGAAATTCGTAATTGCAATTTTCGTCAACACGCATTGGGGAAGCACGGCGGGCATTTCCTTGCCCTAAAACCCTCTCAGAAATAAAAAAAGAGTCCTGTGCCCAGTAGAGGGACTTGTATAGCCTATTACTTTACTTTGTAGCAATATTTATATTCGTTTCAGATAAAGAAGGGTACCTTATGCTGACAAAAATATCATGTGGAGGCGACGAAAACGTAAAACATCTTTGTACCTAGATAAAATGTTCGAAAGATTGTCAGTCATGTCATACGCCACATTTTCTATAGAGCGTAGAACATTGCAGATAGGGCAAAATAAAAAATAATCCAATATATTATGGGAACTATTTATTAATAATATATACATTTATAGGTATTTATAATAAAAATAATGAACAAGCTGCTAGGTTCAACTAATAACGATTTTTGTAAACACAATCGTAAAATTCCTGTTTTAATTTTTACCAATGGTTAATTGATGAAACGTAGTCAAGATCACTTCATATAAAATATATTTAATTAAAATTGACACGTGACCTATTTGGCCTTCTACTTACAACTCGGCGGAAATTTGAAAAGATTTTGTCTTTTCACACAAGTATTGTATACAACTGGCGTGGTTTCGAAAAGCGTGATTAAGTGTCAGCGGTATATAATCAATTAAATACTGAACTTTTTTGAAATTTATTTTTTTGTTTATTTTTATTATATCTTCTTAAAAACTGACGCCATCTCACTATTTTATTATTTGTTTTTTTTTTGTAACGCATAAGGATAAGTTAGATTAACTTGGATAAGTTTATAATTTTTTAAATTTTATCACAAAATTTCCGCAATAAATTATTACCTTTTCTACAGTAATTCTCTCCTCTTAGTTTCGGCGTGACTGTAGGATGTTTTAGTGAGTCGCCGTCAGTTAGTAAGCGGCCATAAATCATTATATGTATGTATAGACATACATATATACATTTTTTGATTTTAATATTTATGTTTTTTATTTAATTTTGATTGATTTTTTGAAACCTGGTAA